AGCTGTGGAGGGCAGTGTCACTGGCCCTCATATGTGGGATCCAAACCGGGCCCCTCTGGCATCCCAAGCCAGTTCTTAACCATTGGGCCACTCGGCCGGCCCCAAAGTAAGGTTTAAAAGTATTTTACTATCTAATGTTTTGGGAATATATAATTTCATTCTTTTCATTAATCATAATCAAGAACTCACAGTTTCAGTTACTGGAGAGTTTTCAGCTACAAAGATAAGTAAATTTATTACAAATCAAATTTCATGAGAATATCCCTGAACTGTCCAAATTTGGGGGATATATTTATTATACATTGTTCAAGGAGAGCTACAGATTACAGTTTAGACAGTTTCTTGATAGGCGGATTTTCATTGCACACATGGTGTTTAAAAGGATTTGGCCCATACTCAGACAATTTAAAGTTTTAGTGATCATATGTTTTCTACTGGGGCGGGGAGCATCAGATTATATGCAAAAGAACTTACAAAATGTCTTTGAGTTCTTCACATAACACTGCATTTTTACCACCTTTTAATATTAAGAAATAAAAGGAAAGTAAGAAGAAGGTAGAAAAGTTGGTGGGTAGTGTCGACTGGACAAATAATTCTCCAGGTAGTCCACCAAAAGAGCAGTTTATTTGGGAAAAGACAAAGAAACAAAGCCACTAAGGAGTGTGTGAATGCACACTTGCTGGCCAGTGTCCCCACGGGCCACCCACGTGGAGAAGAGGCCCCCCCCCATCCCCACCCCGATTCCAAGATGGCTATTCTATTCATTAGCATCCCTCCCCTGGAAGTTACCACAAAGGTTAACAGGAAGTCAGGAATAGAGTTAACAAGGGGCCCAGCTCCACCCATAGTCCTTCCTGCTCTATGGTTAAGCTAAGCATCTTAGGATGCCAGTTCACTTTTATCAGTAGCAAAAGACAGCAAATAAATGCAAGTGGTAAAATCTCAATATAACAGACCAGGAAAAAAACAGCAAAGTTCCAGCAGAAGAGAAAGAGGTGATGTGTACATGCTTTCTAGGTT